GTACTGTGAACTTACTCCATTTAAGTTGAAGAAATTAGGTATTTAATTAACATTACCTTTAACGTTGTTCAAAACTCTTTTCAATCGAGTAGAATTAACCTTCAGTCAATTTTGAGGTTAACTACACTCATTTCAGTTGATGAAGTTGACTGTTGGGTTTTACAGTGTAGTAAATACATTCACTAACATAACTTTATTGTGAAGTCTTACCAATTCAATTGCAATTTATTTTAGATACACTAATAAACACTAAAATACAAACATGCTGGGTTCCTCACAATTCCTTCATGCTGCCCTAACACAAATCGATTAAGTTAATGTAATTATTTTAACAAATTTAAGTTGTGCCAAAAAGTACCTCAAGAATTGTGTTGTTTCACCTCGTTTCAAATAAGTTGTTTGGAGCAAAAATATTTTTGAGTGCACATAAATTGCACATAAATCATTATTTACATATAAATACAAAATTAGGTTCTAGTCAAAGTCTCTTAAAACTACATATTTAAATATATGTTTTGGCATACTGTAAATACACATACAGTTGAAGTTAGAATTATTTGCCCCCCTGTTGATTATTATTATTTTTTTTCAAAAAGGATGTTTAACAGAGCAAGGAAATTTTCATAGTATGGCTGATAATATTTTTTCTTCTAGAGAAAGTCTTATTTGTTTTATTTCGGCTAGAATAAAAGCAGTTTTTACTTTTTTAAACACCATTTTAAGGTGAATATTATTAGCCCCTTTAAGCTATATATTTTTAAATTGTCTACAGAACAAACCATCATTATACAATGACTTGCCTAATTACCCTAACCTGCCTAGTTAACCTAATTAACTTAGTTAAGCCTTTAAATGTCACTTTAAGCTGGATAGAAGTGTCTTGAAAATTATGTAGTCAAATATTATTTACTGTCATCATGGCAAAGATAAAATAAATCAGCTATTAGAGATGAGTTATTAAAACTATTATGATTAGAAATGTGTTAAAAAAATATTTCCGTTAAACAGAAATTGGGGGAAAAAAATAAACAGTGAGCGCTAATAATTCTGACTTCAACTGTATACCACTACTGCCCAAATCCATACCTTGAAAACACTTTACCTGTAGGATTTTATCAGTCCAGATGTTTTCTGCTCCCAGTCTAATAGGTACTCTAATGAAAACAGTTACATTTAACTCTCTAAACTCATTAATCACCTATAAGAGAAATAAGCAGAAAGGGATTTATTCAATTTATTCTATTTTAATTAAAGATACACATAATCTTTGTCAAAAGAAGCACCTTCACCTCCACTATCTGTTTCACTGGTTTTTCATGATAATTTTTCCCATGTGTGATATTGATGTAAGAGCTGGAATCTTTATGTCTTTAGGAGAAACACCAACAATTATATAGTTGATAAAGTAATGAATACAAATCAGTGAAAAGCAAAACGTGAAAAACACACCAGGCACTGACCTCAGCAAGATGACATAGACAGCATGTTTTACTCCAATGTTTTTCATTTTTGATAGCTCACTCTTTTCAGAGTGATTCGCATTTCCGCTGCAAATGACAGAATATTTGGGTTAGTGGTAATGTGTACACTAATCAGGCAAAACATTATGACCCCCACAAACTGGAGCAATGTGAACACCTGGCAACCAAACTGTGTCAAAGGCGCAACGTACAGGGCACTATATATTAAAGCTGAAAGATTGTTTGCAAATTTGACTCTGCATTGATTATGAGGTCTTAAAATGGGCTAGTTTTCAAAAGCAGACGGCTCTCTAGGCTAGTGTTTTATGGGAGATGGCGATACAGTCTAGTTTTTAACAGCACATGGCCCCCTAGGCTGGTTTATAAACTGCATACAGTGCTCTAGTGGTAGTTTCTAATGGCAAATGGTGCTCTAGAGTAGTGTTTAAAAGTAGATGGTGCTCTAGGCTAGTGTTTAACAGTGGATGGCACTCTAGACGTGTTTTTAGCAACAGATGACGCTCATGGCTGGGTTTGAACTGCAGAAAGCACTCTAGGTTGGTTTTTAATGGCAGATGGTGCTCTAGGCCACTTTTTAAATACAGATGAAGCTCTACACTAGTTTTGAACTGCAGATGGTGCTCTAGACTGCTGATTAACAGCAGATGGTGCTCTAGACTGTTTTTTAACAACAAAAAGCACTCTAGGTTGCTTTTTAACGGCAGACGGTGTTCTTGGTTAGTTTTTAACAGCAGTTGGCACTCTAGGCTAGTGTTAAACAGTGGATGGCGCTCTAGGCTAGTTTTTAACAGCAGGTGGTGCTCTAGGCTAGTTTTTAACAGCAGATGGCGCTCTAGGCTAGTTTTTAACAGCAGATGGTGCTCTAGGCTAGTTTTTAACAGCAGATGGTGCTCTAGGCTAGTGTTTAACAGCAGACGGTGCTCTAGGCTAGTGTTTAACAGCAGGTGGTGCTCTAGGCTAGTTTTAACAGCGGATGGTGCTCTATGCTAGTTTTAACAGCGGATGGTGCTCTAGGCTAGTGTTTAGTAGCAGATGGCGCTCTAGGCTAGTGTTTAACAGCAGATGGTGCTCTAGGCTAGTGTTTAACAGTGGATGGTGCTCTAGGCTACTGTTTAACAGCAGGTGGTGCTCTAGGCTACTGTTTAACAGCAGATGGCGCTCAAGGCTAGTTTTTAACAGCAGATGGCGCTCTAGACTAGTTTTAAACAGCAGATGGTGCTCTAGGCTAGTGTTTAACAACAGACGGTGCTCTAGGCTAGTGTTTAACAGCAAGTGGTGCTCTAGGCTAGTTTTAACAGCGGATGGTGCTCTATGCTAGTTTTAACAGCAGATGGTGCTCTAGGCTACAGTAGATGGCACTCTAGGCTGGTTTTAACATCAGACAGTGCTTAAGGCTAGGTTTTAGTGGTAGATGGTGCTCTAGGCTATTTTGTAACAGCGGATGGCGCTCTAGACTAGTGTTTAGTAGCAGATGGTGCTCTAGGCTAGTGTTTAACAGCAGATGGTGCTCTAGGCTAGTGTTTAACAGCGGATGGTGCTCTAGGCTACTGTTTAACAGCAGATGGTGCTCTAGGCTAGTGTTTAGTAGCAGATGGTGCTCTAGGCTAGTGTTTAACAGCAGATGGTGCTCTAGGCTAGTGTTTAACAGCGGATGGTGCTCTAGGCTACTGTTTAACAGCAGATGGTGCTCTAGGCTAGTGTTTAACAGCAGGTGGTGCTCTATGCTAGTTTTAATAGCGGATGGTGCTCTAGGCTACAGTAGATGGCACTCTAGGCTGGTTTTAACATCAGACAGTGCTTTAGGCTAGGCTTTAGTGGTAGATGGTGCTCTAGGCTATTTTGTAACTGCAGATGGCGCTCTAGACTAGTGTTTAGCAGCAGATGGTGCTCTAGTGTTTAACAGCAGATGACATTCTATGCAAATTTTTACCAGCAGATGTTGCTAACAGCTCTAGGCAAATTTTTAATAGCATTCGGTGTCTAAGCTGGTATTTTAACAGCAGAAGGCTGGTTTAACCACAGATAGTCCTCTAAGCTTGTTTTAACAGAGAATACAAGGTTATTTTTAAGCATTCACTCGAATGCTCAAAAGGAAGAGTGCTTGTGTGTTTGGCATGTAAGATTAATGTAGGAACAATAATGAGATAAAATTTAAGGTTCAAGTGGTATTTGTAAGGAATTGGACGCAAGCATAGTACGGCTATCTGTAAAATATTACATTACTGCTGTTAAAACAAAGCTCAAAATCAATCAAGTGCCAATAGCAATGCATTTTCAAAATCTCAGAATTGATGAAGAGCCAGTTTATTGAATAAACGCCATAATACATCAAATAGACCAATAACCATTGATTCTTGAAAGAAAGTGGCCTCCTCTGACAAATCAGTATTCCTGATGCATCACATCAATAGCAAAGTCCAAATATGGCGATTACCAAAAAGAGGAAATGGCAACTTGAGACACTATTGAAACTTGGCACCCAATCACACCTTTTAGTTTCAACCTCAAACAGAAGATTCACGCTGCACCTCCACCACTCTGCAATGTATAAGAACTGGAGGTCCTGATGTTGACATTATGGTACCAGATAACACAGAAGACCTATTGCCACCTCAGTAATTCAGTGCCTCATTTTGTAGCGATTGTTTTGTGGCCAAAAGTAGGTTATTCTGTTTTTTAGCTGGGTAATCATAATGTTATACCTGATCGATGTCAATAGAATTCAAATACAATTAACATATTTGAAAAATACTGAATAAACATAAGATAACAAAAAATATGAAAATACCTGGAAACCAATGCTGTGAACGTCACCATTTGGTCAAAATGACTTTCTTTGTTAATAATATAAAGAATGTCAAACACCACCTAGAAGAATAAAGTTGTCATGATGTAATTTCATTCATTCATTCATTCATTTTCCTTTGGCTTAGTCCCTTATTTATCAGGGGTCACCACAGTGGAATGAACCACCTATAAGACATTTCCAAATACCGCACAAGAACAATAATATTTGATTCATAAGTTAGTGGAAAAGCATTGCTGAAACCTCAACAATACCATCTACAGTTAAAAAATGATTAAGCAGATAACAGAGGTCAATGTGCAAATCAATACTTTAAATTACATGTAATAAAGTACATAACATTTATACAGACCATTTATAAGTTGATGATGCACTAATCATCAATGAATGGTTCAGTTCTTGTGCGCTAGTTAAGTATAAATGAATGCATATTGATGATCCCATTTCGTAAAGTGCTACAGATCTGTCCATTGTGTTTTACTCACAGAAGAATTTCCTTCAAATATAGGGTTGTTGATCTGACAAATGGTCTCTCCTTCTGAGACTTCTTGAATGCCATCTGAAGAATAACAATTCACTCTGCCCTGCTCAAGATAATAAAAGAAAAGTATTTTCCTGATCATATAATACTCTTCTTTCTGTAGGCTCCAGTGTCCCTACAACCTAATTTAATAATAGAAACTGATGATAACAATGCATTATATTTGCTTTATTTAATCCCACATGCCCTGAGCATCATCTCGTCTTACCAGCCGAGGCAGAACTTTCCTGTAGGAAAGTCCGAAGGGATATTTGAGGCTGAACTGAGTGTGGAGTGATTTTTCTCCTCTGTTCTCCACAAACACAGACAGACTGATCTCCTGCATTATCCCAATCTCTATGTTTAAAGATCTGTAAAATATAAACATAACTAAAAAATTTACTACATCAATTTATGGCTGAATCAATACCTAGTTGCCATTAACTTACTCATTAAAGTTGAAGTCCACTTTGAGGTTGTCAACACAAAAATCTGATTCACAGTTTAGATCATAATCAACCTGTAAAATGAATATGGGTTAAGAAAGAAAAATATATAGAAAACACTTTAGTTTGTTACAACTCCCACCATTAACTACTGGCTTTTAAACCTGACTCATTCATTCATTCATTTTCTTGTCGGCTTAGTCCCTTTATTAATCCCGGGTCGCCACAGCGGAATGAACCGCCAACTTATCCAGCAAGTTTTTACGCAGCGGATGCCCTTCCAGCCGCAACCCATCTCTGGGAAACATCCACACACACACTCATACACTACGGACAATTTAGCCTACCCAATTCACCTGTATTGCATGTCTTTGGACTGTGGGGGACACCGGAGCACCCGGAGGAAACCCACGCGAAGGCAAGGAGAACATGCAAACTCCACACAGAAACGCCAACTGAGCCGAGGTTCGAACCAGCAACCCAGCGACCTTCTTGCTGTGGAGCGACAGCACTACCTATTGCGCCACTGCCTAACCCTTAAACCTGACTATTACTAATAAGTAATAAATAATTAAGTATGATTTTATTTTACATTCCTAATTCTACCCAATACCTAAACCCAGCCACTACCTTATTAACTATTATTAAGCCACTTATTAGTTGCTTATTGAGCTAAATATCTTGATGTTAATGGTTTGTTAATAGTATAAGGCCGTACTCACACTATGTATAGTTGCCTTGAACCGGGCCAAAGCACGCTTGTCCCCTCTCCCATCTACCCCGACAGCCTGTACTCACATACAATAGGGCCTGGGCACGCTTACGTTATCGGTGCTGCGCTGTTCAGAAGTGCTCTCACTCAGCACAGTGGAGATTTCTCTAGTTATATGGTTTCAGCCGTTTGTTATGCAGTGACATACAGTCAAATATTTCACCAAACAGTCCTTAGGGATGCGGTGACACGCAGTCAGATATTTCGCCGAACAGATCCACCACTTTTGGCGCTCATAAACAATCACAAAGCCCTCGTGCTGCAGGAATGAGGTCTGCTGAAGGTGCGCAGCCGTCGTGCAGTGAGGGGTGTGTGTCTTTAAAAAACTACGGGAGTTTGCATTCATTGAACAGTAAGAATAATTAATAAATCTATATGAAACAGTCCCTTAAAAATCACGTCTCGCTTTTTAGCCCAAGTGAACCGCGCTCAGGCCCACCTCTTCCAACCGAGCCAGGGCCGGCCGAGTGAACCGTGCTTGAGCCCAATTCAGCGCACTCACACTTCTCAAACGATCCAGGAACGGGCCTGGGCACGGTTCGGATAGCATAGTGTGAGTACGCCCTAAATTGTCACTTGAAATAAAGTGTGACCAAAAATTGTACAGGATGTCCCCATGTAACCTTAAATGTTTTAAATTAGTCCTAATAAACCAATGTCTTTACTAACAATATAATAAATGTGTACACATTTTTAATATACGTTTGTATAAGTTGTTTTTACCTTCCAGAGTGATTTGTCTTTTGTCCATGGTAGGAGAACAGGCTTTACATTGTCCAGCCTTTTACAGGGCAGGCCCTCAAAATTGAACTTTAATTCATTTATCAGCGGGCTGAGAAAATACTCCGTACAAGCCTGGACAAGACAAACAACTTCATAAGCATAGGACTTTTGGTGCAAATTGATGCATCTTGCTTATTCTGCAACCAAAGTAAACAATAGAGATGCTCCGAGCAGGATTTTTGCAGCCGATACTAAGTGGCGATTTGTTGTCAGGGTGATCACCCGATACCAAGTACTAATTCTGATTCTTCAAGCTTTACATAACTTTGTCATTGCATAAGCACATTCACTTCATGAGAGTGGCCAGATCAACGAGTACCAGTTGAGTTGTGATACAGTATGTCATTATCAGCTGATACCGATCTTCGGCCGATTGATTTTAGCATCCCTAGTAAGCAACATTTTGTGAATGCAGAATACCCGTATGGAGTCATTTGTAAAACAGGCAAATGAAAAAACAGTTTACATATTTTAATATTAACAAATGTGATAATTAAACAGGAAAATCCACAGCACACAAAAGAAACAAATACAAACGTACAACCCAGCACTACAGAGACCAGATTTTCGACCCAGGCTCTTTCTGAAAATGTACCCCTATATAAATTCCTGAAGAGCGCCAAGTAGGTCTCAGGATGTTTTTTTTTTTTTTTTTTTTTTTTCAGTTTTTGCACAACCCACCCACCCCACTTTCCTAAACCCAACCAACAGTGTTTTCAAAAGCATCGATTGACCTGCGCCCACCTCCTTCCCTAAACCCAACCAACAGTGTTTTCAAAAGCATCGATTGACCTGCGCCCACCACCTTCCCTAAACCCAACCAACAGTGTTTTCAAAAGCAATCCAGAAAAAAGAAAAGCCCTCCCGACGGCCTGATTTGTAACATTTTTTCAGAGTTCACCACTTTCTCACCCTGTTATTTACTTGTTTACTTTATTTCTTGCCTGCTTTCTGGAACTGTTCTTCACCAGACTCAAACCCCATCATTGTGGTCAACTCCTCTTTGTGTCTCGAGTCTGCCGATGTACTCAGCGAGCCACTGGACAAACTAGTAACAGTGGAAAAGCTGTCCACACAGAGGTAAGTGGTCAGCTTAAAAGACATCATACCACCCTGTAGCGTTTGTTTTAAAGACGAAATGCAGCCATACATCTAACTACATAATCTGCAATCTCTACAAATGTTTATAGAGCTACGTTTTCAGAATGAGCCTGGTGGCTGTTTTAATCGCAGGAAAATGGTCTCCATTCACATCTTAGACTACACAGTCTTGCTATACGCTGTAAGTTCCACTCCACCTGATTCACATTTGCCTATCCATTCATGCCATAAAATGTGTGATATGTGACTTACCTCTATGAGGAAAGGATGGTCTTTGCACACCTCCTCCAGTGTAACATTTACAGTATCACTAAGCACATGTGATTTGGTCAAGAAATGTGCTCTGTGGTTATTTTGCTTGGCATCCAGGTTTAACGTATACTCAATATTTGCAGACAAATCTGGGAAAGTAATTTTGAATAGTTATTTTTGATAAATGTGTGTGTGTGTGTGTGTGTGTGTGTGTGTGTGTGTGTGTTTATATATATATATATATATATATATATATATATATATATATATATATATATATATATATATATATATATATATATATATATATATATATATATATATATATATATAAATTATTAGCCCCCTGTTTATTTAAACTTTTAAAAAATATTTCCCAGGTGCTGTGAAGTTGTTGATTTTTCAAAACATTTCTGAATATAATAGTTTTAATACCTAATTTATTTTGTAATGTGCGTGCATATTGACCTTTTTTAGTCCAATACAACTAAAAAAAATAAAAAAAAACAATATTATAAAAAATACTGTGAACAATGTCCTTGTTCCGCTAAGCATTTGGAAAAAGAATACAAATTTTATTGGAGGGCAAATAATCTCAATCCAGGCTCATTCTGAATACCCACCCCTATATATATTTCTGGAGAGCGCTGAATACGGCTCGGGAGCCAATAATGTTTTCAAAAGCACAGACTGACTAGTGTTGTTTTCATCTTACCTGCATTCTGGAACTGTTCTTCACCAAACTTGAACCACATCGTCGCGGTCAACTCCGCTCTAGTTCACAAGTCCACCGACATACATGGCAAGACACTGGGCAAACTGGTAACAGCGGAAATGCCATCCATACGGAGGTAAGCAGTCAGCTGGTAGCATGAAAAGGAACTGCACCATACCACCCCATAGCATTTGTTTTAAAGGCAATATGCAGCCATATGTAGCTCAGGTTACCTAATTCGCAATCTCCAGAAATATATAGAGGGCTATGTTTTCAGAATGAGCCTGTGTTGAATAATCTTTCCCCTTAACTGTATACCTGTAATAGCGTGTTTGTATCCACTCATATTGAAGCACACAGTCAAGGTGTTTTCCAGAGGCCTTGAGCAGTTTGTTTCACTGGTGGAGATTGTGGAGCTGCTGTAGGTTACTTTCGGAACCACAGACACCATAGGTCTGGACCTGTAGTTTGTATGAAAATACACTTATATAAACATACAAAATATAGCCAATATCTAGATCAAACTGTTTCCAGAACCTATGGGTTAAGAATGACAGTTTACTACAGTCACAGGAAGAATACTGAACCTTAAAAGCAAAACTGCTCCTTTAGATCCAACAGCAATGTCTGGTAGAGTGTCTCCGCTGTGATCTAAAGAGGACTGACTCAGAGATAATCCAAAATACTGTAAACCCGAGTGCACAGATGATCCGGGAATCCTCTAAAATCACACATAATAAAAAGGAGAATGTTTAAAGTGCAAATAGAAATCATGAGTGGTTCATGGTGAAACACGCTGCACTAACATTCGTAACTTGCTGTAAACTTTTAACTAATCATTGTGCATTGTATAAGTGTAGCATTGCAGAAATGCATTGGTATTTGATTGTTTACAAGGCCTTCTTGGGGATGTTGCCTTCATATCTCTTTTAAACAAACATAGTCCCGCGGACGTTTCTAGAGACAGCGGAATACATCCCGGGGGGTACGTACGACCGCGTAAATTTTTTTCAAGCGAACGCTGCGGGGCGGTGTGACACTATACTAGTCAATCATCCGGTCAGGCAGACAGCAACCTCTGGTGGGTTCACACGAGAACAGTGCGGGCGCGAACCACACTCGCGAGAGGCGTCTGAGACCCAAAAAAGCGCACAACAGCGGCCTCTTGCGGATTCGCAAAATCAAAAACTGCAGCCGTACGTACCCGCCGGGACGTATTCCGCAGTCTCCAGAAACGTCCACGGGACTACGTTTCCACAATAAGCCCGGGTTGCCATTTTCAGAATTTTTATTCTCTCTGTTCCTTTTGTTCGGACTGAATTAGGTAAGAAGGCTTTTACGTACAGTATGTACACGGCTTCATCTGGTTGGAATATTCTTGATTCTATACTGAAATCACAAAATGTGTGTCTTTGGACTGTTTGGACTGTCATTCCAAGTCCATCGCTCATCAAATGGAGGGTGATTCTAAGATTTATAATTGTATAAGTGTTCTTAATGTGTAGTTTGCTCTTTTAAAGTCTGTCAATTCTGACTTGCTCTTCATTTGGCCAGGACAGTCCTGTAAAAGAGATTATTAATCTCAGAGAGTCTTTTCTGGTGAAACAAAAAGGAGGGTAAGAGAAATAATCAGCCCTGCCATTAGAAGAGAGGCAATATGGAGAATGCACAACCTGACGTAAATCTTTAATAAAGTTGTCAAAATGGACAGCATCCAAAACATCTTTACAATGTCCTCCAGCATGTTAGCTGAATATGTCACATGATTACATCACATGACTAAAACGTGTCATCATTTTCGAAAGCCTCTTAGTTTCTGTAACTACCCAGTGCAAATATTAAAAGACGATGTCAATGATTTTCGATGTGGATGATTAAATTAGCATCACCTTGCTTAATTAGGGTATACAGTATGTTTATTGGTAGCTCCAATTGTATTGGGAGCATCACTTTAGTAGACTAGTGGCTTATTACCAGCCAATTTTTAAGAAAACTTCTACTAATAAAAAGCAAATTAAGAGTCTATTAGGCTAAAAGTCATGTTAATAGTGACAATTTTACCTTACAATAAAGTGTGACCAATATTTTGTATTCTGTATTCCCTATTGAGTATTCCACCTATGCAAATACCCCATAAAATGTATATGGATGACAATAAAGAAATGGTAAAAGGTAGAGACAAAACTGAAAAACTGCACTGTAAATTATATCTGCTAATAAACACTTGGTATTTTGTGATTCACAAGTGTTTTCTGTTCATTTAGGGTTGTGAATAGCATTATGGGATGTTGATCTCTGCTCTGTTGACTTTTGATGCTGAAAATTCAACTCTACAGTTCAACAAAGTGACTTTTATTTACTCTTTGGGGAGATGGGGACCCAAATACAGTTTATTAACTCTGAGTCAGGCAGGCGATGGTCAAAGCAGGAGCAAACTGAAGCATGAGGGTAATCCAAAAGCTTAGTTGTGTTAACAGGCAAAATGGTCTATACAGGTGGCCAAGCAACATACTGTACACGAGGGAACAAGGCAAAGCTCAAAAGCACGACTAGACAAGGGAACGCTTACAGCAAACAAGACTCAGCACTGTGTCCAGGATATCAGTCCATGATGAGCTTTCAGCTGGGTGTACATGATCAGGTGTGATCCGGAACTGGTGTGTGAGTGAAGTGCCTGATGGGAAATGTAGTGCAGTTCAGTGGCAGAATTTTAGTTCGAGGGATAGTGAGTGTTTCCAGTGATCTGCAAAGACTAGATCGCTGGTGAACGTGACAAATGTATAAAGAAATAAGTCTGTAAAAAAAAGTTCACTTGAAGGTTTCTGTACCGTAATATACAACCACCCAGACAATATATCACTTCAATAAAAATGATAATAAAAGTCAACTTTTCAAGGTTAAAAGTTGATCAAGATCCAATAATGCAATTCAAAAGCATAAATAAACAAGGAAAATAAAACATGAATCACAAAATACTAATTTACAAAAATGTTTTACAGTGTAATGCTGAGTCCTAAAAGTGGAAAACCTGTGAGTATGTCGGATTTATTCGATCTGTGCCTCCATTGAAGATGTAGATGCTGCCATGTCCGTCTTCCTCTAACGGAGCACCAACCAGCACATCCCTATAACCATCACCATTCAGATCTGCTGGACTGGCCAGAGAAGAGCCAAAGCGACCCCTCTGACCGGCCATGCCCACCAGCACCACATCAGAAAAACTGAAGTATGGCTGCAAAAACGAACGGAAAAAGGGTTTAAAGGTATATGAGATTCCTAATGTCTGGAATTTATATTTCAACCTACCAGTCGAGAGTAAAAGTACACAAAAACTCTGCCTTCAGAATGAGAGTCTGTATATGTGGGTGCAGATATTAATAGAAGATCTGTTTTCGAGTCAGAGTTCAGATCGACTACACAGACCTCAGCTCCAAAGTATGAACCAATCTGAGGCTAAGAAAGAAGAAAAATTTATGAATTACGCTTTAATAGGCAAGTTTATTTATATAGCACATTACATACACAGTGGCAATTCAAAGTGCTTCACATAAACAGAAATAAAAACAACCCAAGCTCATTCTGAAATGGTAGCCCTGCGGACGTTTCTGGAGACCACGATTTACGTGGCCAGAGGTACGTATGGCAGCATTTGGTTTTTTCGAGCGAACACTACGGGGCGGTGTGACGCAGCTCCTCTTCTTCACGCTTGCTCGCTGGCTGTCACGGCTCACTCACCTCTGTGTGGAGGGCTTTCTCGCCACAACCAGTTTGTCCGCTTAGCTCGCAGTGTTACGTCGGTGGAGCGGAGGCCCAGAGGAGGAGGAGCCGGCCGCGGTGACGACCGGGTTCGAGTCCGGTTAAGAGCGCTTCCAGAAGTCAGGTAAGATGAAAAACAAAATCCAAAAAATAAAAGTTTGTGAGTTCGTGACAGGGCGAGAATGCGGCGAAATCAAAAAACACGGTAAAGGGCTTTTGCTTTTCTTTTCTGGACGGCTTTTGTAAATCGTCGCTTGGGTTTAGGGAAGGAGGTGGAGGAGGGAGGCTGGGTCGGCCGATTGGCTGGCCGCCTGGTCGATCGTTCAATCATTCAGTCCGTCAGTCGGACAGACGGTCACTCAACAGCGGCCTTCGCCGGCTTTTCGTGTGAGAACAGCTTGGACGCGAACGGCGCGCGCTCCTGAGTGGCGTCCGAGATGCGAAAAAGTGCGGCACAGCGGCCTCTCACGGATTCGCAAAAACAAAAACTTCCCAAATGCGTACCTCCTGGGACATATTTAGCCACCTGCAGAAACGTCCACGGGGCTACATTGTCACAATGAGCCAGGGTTGAATAAAAAAGACAAGGATAGGAAAATAAACAACAAATAATATAAACTAGTAAAACAGCTTAAAATGTGTTAAAACAGGTTAGAAAAGAATAAAAAAGAAAAGAAAAACATAATAGTGAAATCTTTCGGACGCAGCACAGTGCTCATTTAGTAAAGGCACAGCTAAACAGATGTGTTTTCAGTCTTGATTTGAATGTGCCTAATGTTGGAGCACATCTGATCAGTTCTGGAAGCTGATTCCAGCAGCGAGGGGCATAGTGGCTGAAGGCCGATTTCCCCCTGCTTTGACTGAACTCTTGGGATTTCTAGTTTATATGATCCTAAAGATCTGAGTGAACTGTTGGGTTTGCGTTCAGTCAGCATATCTGTTGTATATTGAGGTCCTATGCCATTTAGGGATTTATAGAATACTTTAAAATCTACTCTGAATGTAACTGGGAACCAGTGTAAAGACCTGAGGACAGGTTTGACATGCTCTAATTTCCTGGTTCTGGATCCAGGCCACAATGTTCTGGATGAGCTGTAACTGTCTGACTGTCTTTTTGGGAAGGCCTATAAGGAGGCCGTGACAGTAATCCACCCTGCTGCTGATAAAACCATGAACTAGTTTCTCTAAGCCTTCACTGGAAACAAAGCATCTGCTTCTTGCAATGTTTTTAAAAAAATAGTATGATGATTTACTGACTGCTTTGACTATTGAAACTCAGATCTGACTTCAGAGTCACACCAAGATTATTGACCTTAATTTTCGCTGTTTCACCTTTAGTGCCAAGGTACGCATTCACCTAGAGAACTTCATCTCTGTTCCCAAACACAATCACTTCAGTTTTCTCTTTGTTTAACTGAAGAAAGTTTTGCCATATCCAATTGTTCATTTCATCAATGCACTGGCAGAGGGTGTCAATGGGGCTGTAGTCATTAGGCAGTAAGGCTAAGTAGATCTGAGTGTCATCAGCATAGCTGTGGTAGGAGATTTGGTGCTTACTCATTATTTGGCTTAGAGGGAGCATGTAAAGGTTGAACAGGAGAGGTGCTAGAATTGAGCCTTGTGGGACTCCACATGCCATGGGTGTCCACCCTGACCTATGGTCACCTACTGACATGGTAACCTCTCCCTTAAAGGTAAGATCTGAACCATTTGAGGACCGTGCCAGATAGCCCAACCCAGCTTTCCAGCCTATATAATGTGTACACATTTGAAGAAATGTTCTTTAAAGTGCCCATATTTGTGTTTTTCTCCATTTCAACTGTTCATGTAGTGTGTGATTTTAGCTGGGAATATTAAAAGATATAAGTGCAGATACATTGACTTATTGTGTATCACAGTTGAAAGCTGCTGAATGTAAATGAATGTAAAATGTCATTCTATTTCAAATATTTCTTGAAGGATGTTTAAGAGAGAGATTTTTAAGAGAGAGACAATTTTCACAATTTCCCTTTATTTATTTATTTATTTATTTATTTATTTATTCATTCATTCATTCATTCATTCATTCATTCATTCATTTTTATTTAGTTTATTTATTTTGACTGAAATAAAGTCTATTTTTAGTCTTACAGATGAATACAATTAGTCCCCTAAAGACATTTCTATTGATTAGCTACAGAACAAACCCCTGTTGTCCAATGATTTGCCTAATTAATGTAATTAGGTCTTAAAATTGCACTTTTAGCTGAATATTAGTATCTTGCGAAATAACTAGTAAATTATTATTGCAAGTTTATTAGTTATTGATTAGTCATTTAAAAGCTGTTAAAATAACTAATAATTGAGTTATTATTTATTATTATAAATTTGTTTATTAATTACTAATTAATAACTATTAGTTAATTTGTTAATTACGGTATGTTTAAAATGTGTTGAAATTGTTTTAAAAATAACAATAACAATGAAAATGTCTTAGGAGAGCTAATAATTTTGCCTTGTAACATATACGCAAATTATTAGCCTGCGGGTTTTCATTAACTGCTCACAAATATTAATTGCTTTAAGCTTGAATTGTGTTTTGAAAGACTGGATCCTCCAAAATTATGCGGATAATATTATGTTTCTATCTTCAATAGACATAAATTGATTGCGTATGACCAGCCTGATCTCATGAGGAAACTTAAGTATTTTATGTTTTGTCAGTTTAGTGGCTAATTCGCACAAATTCGTACGAGTTCAGTCATACAAAAATGTACAATTTTAAAAAGCAGGCATGGTCATTGGGTGATGAGCAAATCGTACTAAATTGTACGAATTAGATCATATGAATTCAAACGAATTAACCACTAAATCAAAAATTTACGAATTGCTGTGAGATTGCGTTGGTATGACCACAAACACAATATTAGGAACATTTAAAATAGTTTAACAGTGGCATTTTAACCTTACCCTTGAACTGAGGCTTATAAATAACTGGGAAATATTTGTGTACCTTGGGTGAATCCACCAGCATGTTAGTTGTGTTATCTCCAATTTCTGAAATGCTCACTTGTCCTTTATGCATGAATCGTGGTGCTCCCATAATAACAAACTTTTTCTTAGATTGTGCTGCTATTGCCATTGAATAACCTACAATAATTGGATAACAAAAGGTTTATTATAAGATTATATACACTCAGCTTAACAATAATTCATAATATGCGTTCATTGTGTATATAAAAGAGAAACTACAGTACAGCAGTATCATTCCATGTACAGATTGTGGGTGACTAAAATACACAAATGTGTTATAGTAGAGTCTCACCTAAATAACTATCTTGCTCAATTCCCATGTGGAAGTGTGATGAATCTCCATTTTGAGAGTACTCTTGATATCCACCCTTACCTTGGAAAGCGCCCACAGCACTCATAATCAGGCTCACCTAAACAAACAGTTTTGTATTTTTTATCTGCACAATTTCTCATGCTCTCAGTAACCACCAACATCCAAAACTGGAGTAATGATGCTGAAAATTCATACAATACTTGTACATAACAATATTCATAACAATACTTGTACTGTACTGTATATACACTTAAGTTTCAAATCAGTTTAAATGATTGAATGTCAACAGGTGAAAATTTTCTTTGAGATTTTCGAAGCATCAATGAAAACCCTTTCTTGTGCTTCTTGTCATTGTATTGTTGGCAGTTAAATTTGATGATATAATTTGGTATTGATATTCTTTGATATTTCTTTGATCGTCTTTGATATTTTGTTACATTTGATGTAAACGCTGCACTAAACCCCTCCTGAGCAAACTCCATTGTGGCAGAATCTCCAGTAGACTGGACTCCTGAAAAGAAAAGAAAACAAATAATCTAGTAAACACAATGTAAAAAAAATCCATAAAATTTATTGTAAAAAAAACAGCATCTGTGGTTGCCAAGTTTGTACTGTTTTTATTTTATTATACGGTAAATTACCGTATTGCAATAATGTACAGTGGTAATACACAAATTCTTTGAAGTACTCTACACATTATACTTTTGTTACACTGACAAAAACACAACCATGACCATGTGATGAGAAACTCATACACGCTCTTAGAAATGAAAAGTACGCGAGCTGTCACTAGGTTGGTATCTTTTCAAAAGGTACACGTTTGTACTTGAAGGGTCCATATTGGTATTTGAAAAGTGTATATTAGTACCTACACATTTTAAAAGGAACACTTTTGTACTTTTTAGGTATCAATATGTACCCTTGAGATATTATTATGGACCTTTTATGTAAAAATTTGTACCTTTTGAAAATGTACCACCCCACTGACAGCTCGTGTACCTTTATTTCTGGAGGGCAGTATATTGAACCAATGCTTATCACATTGAAGAATGAGAAAGAATGAGTCTGGCTCGAAGCACCTTCTGCTCTAAATGGTTTGTTGATGCTCATTTCCTAACTAAAAACGTGTTGTCTCTGCCTTATATGAGATGACCACATCTTGAGTAAATGGTGACAATTGTAGAATGGGGATGAGTGTGGGACACAGAGAACCATCTCATACAATGAGGTGTCGAAACAACATTAACACACAGAGAACAGCTGTGGCAACAGCCAAGGAGCAAATTCATTAACATCAAAAGGCAGTAAATTAAAATTGCATAAAAGGTTCAGTGTTCATTCTGACTCAGATGAACCCAGGGTATTGCCATGTACTGTGAGACTGTTTATCTTAATTAACATCTTCCTTGAGATCTTCTACATTTTCTTATAACACTAATTTAGAATGCGCTCTGCGTCATTTACTATCATGAAAATAAACAACACTAAAGTTATATATATATATTTTTTTTTTTTTTTTTTTTTTGCAGCTTAATTACTTGGTTAACATGACATCTGTCAACATACCTTCAATTGCGATGTTCTCCTCCAGTTGTTCACGAATATTATCTAGTGCATCAAAGTCAGTGACGTTAAACACATATTCAGCAGCCGGAGCGGATGCAATCGTTTCTAACTGCTGCTGTGACTCGAAATCATCAAACGCTTCACCAATCTTTCAGAATAAAAAAAACAAGACAGATATTTTGGGGGTCAATCAGACATTTTGTGCTTTTATAGCTCGTGCTGTAATGCAGATGCATTAATAAAAGCACATAAATCAAACACTGACTTTGTCATCATTTACTCTACAGATATTAGAATTATTCGCCCTCCTGAATTATTAGCAGGATTACTATATATTTTCCCCAATTTCTGTTTAACAAAATAAGACACATTTCTAAACATGATAGATTTAATAACTCATTTAATAATTGATTTCTTTTATCTTTGTCATGATGACAGTACATAATATTTTACTAGATATTTTCAAGATACTAGTGTTCAGCTTAAAATGACATTTAAAGGCTTAACGGGGTAAAGTTAGGATAATTACGCAAGTCCTAACCAAATGATGGTTTGTTCTGTAAACAATCAAAAATGCATTGCTCTGTGAAACAAATTCAAAGGAGGGCAAATAATTTAGACTCTCTTTTTATCCAAAATATCAAAGCAGAGCACTTTTTGCCTGCAGTGTTTTGCTTTAGTGGGTGTGTGTTTGCTTCTCAAGCTTTAAGGCCTTATTTCAGCATACCCCAACAGCAAATCGGATGATATTCTTCTTTTCCGCCCTTTCGACAGCACCTTTGAGATGAGGATGATCATTTGATGTGCCGTCGGTGATAACAATTAAGATTTTAATAGCAGATTGCCTCAATCCCCCTTCAGGTATGAAGAGCTCGTCCCTGTTTATTGGGAGGGGAATTGATCATGTAAAATCAAGCACATTATGTAAAACTACTATCGTAAGCCACAATATGCATGTACAGTTAAACATGATTAGCCCTCTTGTGAAATTTTATTTTTATTTAAATGTATTTAATTAAATATATTGGATTATTTATCAAAGATAATATACAACAAGATGTTTCAGTTACTTTTAAAGATATTATTTGTGGTTATTCTGAACCTGTCTCTGAAGAAAAGCTTGTTTTGTTATAAATTTAATTTATTTTCCTTGTAAATTCCATATCCACAAATGCAAGTTTACTAATACCAATATTATAATAATAACCATATCTTCCTGTTTTTTTTTGTTTTTTTTTTGCAAAAATTGTCATTATTTAAACATAATTTCATTATCTGAATATAAGAAAGCAAACAGAACTATTTTGTAATGACTTTAATTATGTACTGTAATAGATTATTAAATGTCTTACCCTCAAGTTGATTTAATTTTCTTTATTATTATTTTTCTTTTTTTTTCACTCTCTCTTGTATTTTTTATTGACCAAATAATTCATAATCTGTATTGTACACAAATACAAATATTAATACAAACATGTCAACTGTTTTTTGCAAAAAAAAAAAAAACATTAAGTAGGTTAAAAGAGCATTGATTTTTTTTCTCTCTTTTTTCTTTTTTGTTTGGCTGTAATTAAAAAACTAATTAATTATAATAAAAAATGTAAAATCTGCTTGGGTCAATAATAGTAGACCGTTAAGATTTATAATAATAATAATTTCTTAAATTTATATAGCCCTTTTATGAACACACAAAGCACTTTACACATTTTTGAGGGGAATCTCCTTATCCACCACCAGTGTGCAGCATCCACCTGGATGATACGGCGGCAGCCATATTGTGCCAGACTGCACACCACACAACAGCTGATTGGTGGAGAGGAGACAGAGTGATGAAGCCAGTTATGATTTGGGGATGGTTAGGATGCCAAGATGGACAGAAGTCAATAGGCAAATTTGGCCAGGGTTTAACTGACACTCTTGTTCGAAGGACATCCAGGGATTTTTAATGACCACAGAGAGTCGGGACCTCGTTTTAATATTTCATCCGAAAGACGACGCTCACTGAGCAGTATAGAGTCCTCTTTACTATACTTGGGCGTTAGGACCAACACAGACAGCAGGTTGAGCACTCCCTACTGGTCTCACTAACACCACTTTCAGCAACAACCTAGCTTTCCCATGCGGTCTCCCTTCCAGGTAATGACCAGACCCTGCTCAGCTTTAGTGGGCGACCATGTGAGAGTTGTAGAGATCTAGCTGCTGGCATTTTTTTTTTTTTGTTTTTTTTTTTTTTGACATGCCTAATTAATCTAATTAAGCCTTTAAGTTGCACTTTAAGCTCAATACTAGCATATTACAAAATAGCAGGTAAAATATTATGTACTGGCGTCACAGCAAATAAAAGAGTTATTAGAAATTAATTTATTAGAAATTTAATTTATTAGAAATTAATTTTAAAATGTGATAAACATTTCACAGGAGGGCTCAAAATTCTTAATAATAAGAATAATTAATAATAATTCTTTGCAGTTTCTGAGTAAAAGATTTCAGTGTTTTCCTCCAAACCTATGAATGTTCACTTAATAAATAAATCCATTTAAAAGGTTTTAAAATAAACATCAGATTTATAACAAATAGGATTATAGTCAATTAAAACCATTAACCTAAAGCTATTTTTTGTATGCATAACTTTGCGAATGCATAACTTTGTCATAGCACAAGTTCGTGAATGACCTTTACACTGATACATTGTTGAAGAGCCGCTCATACTAATGGCATTAGAGGTGACTTACACAAGTCTATTAATAGCCTTTGCGGTGAAGGTCCATCCTTTCTGATGCTTTATCTCTGCTATTCTTGTTCTCCATGTATCAATGTCTTTGACTGGTTCAAACATGGAATGAATTTCAGAACCAGTTGAAAACTGTGTGACAGCAAACTATAAGACAAGAAAACAAACACAGTTGGATGATTTTTTTCTTAAATGGTGGTGGGCTGCAGGGTCAGTAATTTAAAATGATTAGTTATAAGCAACCCAAGCTCATTCTGGAAACGTAGCCCCGCTGACGTTTCTGGAGACCGGTACGTAAGGCCGCGTTTAGTTTTTTTCGAGTGAACGCTGCGGGGCGGTGTGGCGCCGCTCCGCTCCTCCTCTTCGCGCTCGCCGGCCGCCTGCGAGTGGAGGGCTTTCCCGATGCAACCAGTTTGTCCGCTTAGCTCACAGCATTGCGTCGGCGGAGGGGAGGCCCCAGAGGAGGAGGAGCCGGCTGCAGGGACGACGTCAGGGATCGAGTCTGGGGAACAGTGGTTCCAGAAATCAGGTAAGATGAAAAACTGAATCCGAAAAATAAGGGCGAGAACGCCGCGGGATCCGAAAACGCGGTCGAAATCGAAGACAAGGGCTTTTGCTCTGCCGATCCGGTAGCTTTTCGCGCGAGAACAGCGAACGGCGCGCGCTCCCGAGAGACGCCCGAGATGCAAAAAAGCGCGCACAGCAGCCTCTCGCGGATCCGCGAAAACAAAAACCGCTCGAATATGTACATCCCGGGACGTATCTCGTGGTCCGCAGAAACGTCCGCGGGGCTACGTTTCCACAAGGAGCCCGGGTTGGTTATAAGGCTTACAAAAACAAAAACAAGAGAGCTGATCCAATATGCCTTCAGCAATTGTTGTTGTTTTTTTGTGCAAACCCCTTTTAATTTCTGACCTTGCTGGTGAACAATGTAAACCATTGTAGTATAAAGTAAGTCTTGAAATCCTCAAAACAAATACCTGAGCATTGCATGTTGAAAAGCTCTCGATTATTGTTATAACAAATGTTTTCATTTTAATGAAATCTTCGTCTTCTACGCTGCTGGAGCCGTCCATCAGAAAAGCAATATCTATTTCTAAAGGGCAGCCTGTGAAAGAGCAGTTCATGATTAGACTATCACAAAATCTAAACAAAATGACACATTAAAATCAATTATGAACTCCTCGTTTGACTTACTTCTCACAGCACCCGGTATAGGAGCACTCGCTTCATTGTTCTCGCTTATTTGAAAGCACATGCCGTTGAGTGTAGTCAGAATCTTGCAGTCTTTAGGGATGGTGGGACCACAGACCTGAGCGAGAATGAAAGGTTTTTATTGTACCTATAAATATGTATGTTTGTCATGATGGAACATGCAACCTTAGTTGGCCAATGATGGTTTTGGAAAACTCACCCCCAGTCCATGTAGAAACAAAACAAATTACAAATAGATAATTGAATCATTGGCTCAAATGAGTCATTCAAAACCATGTCTGAAGATGAAGATAATACTTACCACTGAATTAGATGAGTGTGTATCCTTAGCCATAGAAAGTCCAAGAGACATGTTAACAGCTTCAGAGGGCACTTACAAGGTATAAATAATTAAAAATGCTTACATCTTACATAAAAAAAAACATGTTTAGTTTTAAAAAAGAAACATGACACATTTAAATACCATTAATTGTCAGAGGCTGGCAAGTTTCCTGTAAAATGGCGCAGCTGTACACTTGTCCTCTAGCATCACGGCTGGACTGAACTGAAGGATCACTCACAAGCAAACTACAGGAAAGGCAAGGGAAAACATGTATTTGTCGGTGGTAAAAATGTTTTAGTGTAGCCTACTGTATGTTGTGATGAGTTGACCTTTCAATTTTCCATTAACTCACAATTCATATAAAATCAAAACAAAAAAAATCAAGTTTGACAAACTAAAATTAAGCTTTCAAAACTGAATCCATCAGGTTCAGCTAACTAAAATGAAGCTTCAAAACTGAGTCCATCAAGTTTGGCTAACTAAAGTAAAGCTTCAAAACTGAATCCAAGTTCAGCTAACTAAAGTGAAGTTTTCAAAACTGAATATAATAAGTTCGCCTAACTAACGTGAAGCTTCAAAACTGAACCCAACAAGTTCGTCTAACTAAGGTGAAGCTTCAAAACTGAATATAATAAGTTCGGCTAACAAAAGTGAAACTTCAAAACTAATTCCAACAAGTTCGTCTAACTAAAATGAAACTTCAAAACTGAACCCAACAAGTTCGTCTAACTAAGGTGAAGCTTCAAAACTGAATATAATAAGTTCGGGTAACAAAAGTGAAGCTTCAAAACTGAATCCAACAAGTTCAGATGGCTAAAGTGAAGCTTCAAAACTAAGTCCATCAAGTTTGGCTAACTAAAGTGAAGTTTTCAAAACTGAATATAAAAAGTTTGGGTAAAAAAAGAGAAGCTTCAAAACTGAATCCAACAAGTTCAGATAGCTAAAGTGAAGCTTCAAAACTGAATCCAACAAGTTCGGCTAACTAAAGTGAAGTTTCAAAACTAAATATAATAAGTTCGGATAGCTAAAGTGAAACTTTAAAACTGAATATAATAAGTTTGGCTAACTAACGTGAAGCTTCAAAACTGAATCCAACAAGTTCGGCTAACTAAAATGAAGCTTCCAAACTGAATCCGTCAAGTTTGGCTAACTAAAGAGAAGATTCAAAACTGAATCCAACAAGTTCAGATAGCTAAAGTGAAACTTCAAAACTGAATATAATAAGTTTGGCTAACTAACGTGAAGCTTCAAAACTGAATCCAACAAGTTCGGCTAACTAAAATGAAGCTTACAAACTGAATCTGTCAAGTTTGGCTAACTAAAGAGAAGCTTTAAGACTGAATCCAACAAGTTCGGCTAACAAAAATGAAGCTTTAAAACTGGATCCAACAAGTTTGGCTAACTAAAATGAAGCTTTAAAACTGAATCCAACAAGTTCGGCTAACTAAAATGAAGCTTTAAGACTGAATCCAACAAGTTCGAAATTTTCAAAACTTCATTTTAGTTTGTTAAACATATTGGTTAACTGAGTTTTATAAGTTGAATCAACGGCAGTTTTTTTTAAGTGTAATCTGTGCTTTTCCTCACCTTGTTTTATCTCTTTGTATCACTCTATAGCCAAAGCCAACATCATTATTTCTAGTGAAACATTTCCAAGCGACTGGATCGATGTTGAAGGTCAGCACTGCCTGAAATGCTGGACAAACACATCAACACACAAAAACAAATCAGACGAAAACAAATGTATTATTCAGAAGAATATTATCTAATACTGAAAACAATTGTTACTTGCTATTTTTGCAAATATCAAAGCAACATTCTTAATTTAAGATGTAATAATAATAATAATAATAGTCTTGTACAACTGATTCAAGGGAAAAACTGTCTATCTTTCATGTCGCATTGTAATATTTTGTTTAGCTAAAATTAATTTAGATGCCAGACTTAATATGTTTATTTAGTTAACATATTTAGTAAAAAAAAAATTTTTTAGATGTTTGTGCTGTAAAACAAGATTGTAATTTGTGGTCATCTGGTGCCAAATTTATCATACATTATATGACTATTTTCCCCTCTCCTGCTCTCTCATATTTTGGTTCTAAGCCTTGACACATTAAAAAAAATGCACTGCTAATGTGTGGGTTTACAGTTGAATCTAATTTAGCTTTTAACTTCTCCTTTTTCATGTGAAGTATTAGCAAAGCAATGCCTTAGAGAAGCTAATGCTCATTTCCAGAACTGTTTCAGGAACTACAGAAACTATTTATTTAATGCATAAATACTGTAAGTGATAAATAAGATGCCTTCTGCATGACAGACTTAAAATGGAGTTATCAGAATCTTTTTTTTTTTTTTTTTTGCTAGTAGTCAAGAGAGATTTAATGTTGATAGAATGTAATATTACATTTAGAATGAACAAATAACTGGGAAAAATGAATCAAGAATAAAAAAGATATAATTTATCTTGAAAAAAACAAACAGAAATAGACTCATCTGGAGAAGGCGAGTAACTTTCAACCTTTATAATGCATAAAATAAACTAAAACAATTACTGTTAAAAACGATCATAAGCCATACTGTATACCTCATCTACAACTTCTCATAAACAAGTGTCAAAACGATCAGAAAAGTGGCAGATTAATATTATTATTATAGGATATTATATTATAGAATATTATGAGCATGGACCGCCTTTTGATTAATTAAGACAAAATGATCAATAATTTGAAATGTTTAATATATATATATATATATATATATATATATATATACATACATACACACAGTTGAAACGAGAGTTATTAGCCCCCTTTGAATTATTTATTCTTTTTATAAATATTTCCCAACAAATTTTTAACAGAGGAGGGAAATTTTCACAGTATGTCTGATAATATTTTTTCTTCTGGAGAAAGTCTTATTTGTTTTATTTTGGCTAGAATAAAAGCAGATTTAAAAAATTTTAAACACCATTTTTAGGTCAAAAGTATTAGCCCCTTTAAGCTATATATTTTTTCGATAGTCTACAGAACAAACCATCGTTAAACTATAACTTGTCTAATTATCCTAACCTGCCTAGTTACCCTGATTAACCTAGTTAAGCCTTTAAATGTCATTTAAAGCTGTATAGATGTCTTGAAAATTTTCTCTCATCATTGCAAAGATTAAATAAATCAGTTATTAGAAATGAGTTATTAAAACTATTATGTTTAGAAATGTGTTGACAAAAATCTTCTCTCCAATAAACAAAAACTGGGGCGAAAAAAACAGGGGAGCTAATAATTCTTACTTCAACTGCATGTTTACACATGAAATGAAGTTAACCAGACAAACCATGACATATGTTGTGTTCATATTGTCTGCAAATACAAGTCAAAGTAAATTTGGAATCACTATAGTTTCTTTTTATTTACGTTTTCCATAGGGTTCCAGCTTTTTCTGATTTGGGGTTGTAGAAAATGTTTGCATGTCACGTGGAATGAACGCATTGTATTACTGGCAGACTGAAGGGAAGATTTGAAGAGGAAGATTGGTAGCTCAGATAAGGAACTTGCTAAACCATTGCAGTTAAGTAATCACAGAAAAAATAAACTCCTATCCTCATTTACTCTCACTCCGCTTGCTCTGTTACCACAAAACATTTTGAAGAACATTGCTTACCAGACAGCCAATGGTAACCACTGATTTCCATAGTAGGAAAAGATAACACATTAGAGGATCTTTATATATATATATATATATATATATATATATATATATATATATATATATATATATATATATATATATATATATATATATATATCTTCTTCTTTTGTGTTTTAAAGAAATGTGTTTATTTTGGGGTGAACTATCCCTTTAAGAAGCAGTATTTGCACTACTTGCAGTTTCTCAATCAGAACTTCGAGTTCGACTACAACAATATTAACAGTATAGCTCTTCACTTGTCCCAAAACCTATATGAGCTATAGAAGATGTTTTAAAGAATGCTAGTTTCTGGCACCCATCGAGTTCCATTGTACTATTTTCCCTACTATTGAAATAAATGTGTGCCATCAGCCAGCATTCTTCAAATATTTTCAACAGAAGAAAGAAACTGATAATAACGACTTAACTGTCGCCCCAACTTTTTGAACATCGATATGAAAACAGCATGTTCAACTTAAATGAATGTGAATTTTCAATGCTTTGGTGCAAAGATTTAAGCTTGGTCACATTTTACAGACAATAGACGTCAGATTGAAGTGAAAAAAAAAAGTTAAATAAAACAAGTTGTGTGCCTTTATCTTTATGAAAAGAAAAGTTAATATAATACATAAAATTTATATTTTCGCAAGGCATGTTCTAGTCAAAAATTTACCGAAAATGAAGGCTTAATATCTAAACAAAATATATTCCTAATTTGAAGTTGATATCTCAAACAATTACCATTTCACATAGCTTTTATTTGGCCACAGTACCAAACATGACTACCAGATGACATTCAGTTAACATTGATGACCACACAAGGTCGCCCCCTATGTTTTCAGGAATATTATCTGTATTTTTTCCATACTTTTCATACCATTCTAAAGTAGTAATGGGCAGTTTTGCAGAATTTAATTTGAATCTGGCCTCTGAAAAAACATCTAAAAACATTTAAACAAAATTTTACATGTGGATTGCTGTAGCAAAGTAATACTTTACTACTCCGATAAGTATCCTTGTTGCAAATTAATAAACAACTGTTGCTCAGTGATATCTATCAAACATTCCTCACCATATGGAAGTTCTAAATTTTAAGCTTTCAAATTATATACAGTTAGTCATCATTGCTTTAAGTTTAGACTACAGTCTTACAGCTTACAAATGTAACCGTAAAAGGTCCCACAGGTTGTAGGGTGGCATTAAATGTGTTTTAATCTATTACTTTTCCAACATAACATGACATATAACATGAAAATTCAGGGAAAAGACGGTTGACTGCCTGTTTAACATGTTCGCAACAACACATTCAAAATGCATACTCGATTTCACATTACATTAATGAAGAT